GCTCACATCTCACTGGCCAATCACATGGCCACATCTGGTTGCATGAGATGCTAAAAAGGTAATTTTTATTTCAGCCAGCCATGTGCTCAGCTAAAAATACTTTTATTAGTCAAGAGGAGGAGGACAGATATTGAGAGATAACCAGCAATCTCTCTCCCACTTCCTCCCCTTTTCTTTCTCAAACATAAGCAATCCGATCCAATAAAAATGCCAGTCGTCGGATTTGAAGACAGAACCCATAACAGGCTTCTCTGAGTTTGACAGGCATTTCCCGTCCCCATGTGCGTGCAGTTAGAGACTGTAACAAATCACCCTCAGGGGGTGGAAGACCCAAGCTTGATCAAGTGCACATCAGAATGTCTACCCCAGAAAATTCCTGGTTTTTCACACAAGTGGTGTGCTAGGGGAGCCCATGGTTCTGCTGGCCAAAGGCAGGCAGCAACATCAAAACTCACATGCACCACCCTCTGACAGAATACAGTGATGCATTCTCAACGCAACAATATAGAAAAACTTCCAAGGGAGGGATCTTCTAAAATCCATTAAATATGTCACCTGGGGCCTGAAACCATCTTGTGAAACTACTTGTTGGGGCTCTTCATTCTAAATTTGTTTGCATTCAAGCCTTCTTTTCCAGAAGAAATGCAGACACAATTAAACAGTAATTTCATCATCACTTATCTTGGATGCTGCAATTAGTCTAAATGAAATATACAAAAACATGAAGTATCTTAGAAAGTAATATCAAATGATTTATAAACCTAGCGTTAACTAAATCATTTCTTTACAGAAAATCACATTTACGACACTCTTATTACATAATGTTTACAGATGAAAAATACTGAAATTCAGAGAAGTAATTTCTTTAAAGTGCCATAATTAGATGTGAACTTCCAGTGGTCTGACTTCAGACCTCTCACATCCCTCATTACACTGTGGAGCACCCCTATGTCTCTGCACAGCTACATTGCTCTGAGGGTTTGACGTCTACAGTATTTTCTTTTTCTTTTTTTTAAAAATATACCTTTATTGATTTGAGAGAGGAAGGGAGTAGGAGAAACAGAAAGAAACATCAATGATGAGAGTCATGATCAGCTGTCTCCTGCACACCCCCTACTGAGGATCAAGCATGAAACCCAGGCATGTGCCCTGACCGGAAATCGAACCTCAATCTTCTGGATGCTAGGTCAATGCTAAACCACTGAGCCACACCCAGCCAGGCTACAGTATTTTCTGCTCCTATTCCACTTCTGCACTCCCTGGGCTCTCCCACTAGACAGAGTCCTTGCCTGTCTGCCTTCCTGCAACCCCACGTCTACATTACATAGTGAAAGGTGGGAAGGCAGGCAGGGCAGAGGTGCCTACTGGCCCACCATCTTTCAATATCCCTGAGCACATTCAGGTGCCCGTTACAGCCACACCAGGCTTCTGGCTACTGCTCAGCACACCCTTAGTGTAGTTTTTCTCTGGAGTTCTCATCCATAATTTGGGTTTCTAATTAGTCTAATTCAGGCATTCCTTCATTTCAACATTGAGAATCCATTTTTCTCTGATACCCCTTCTTCTAGTCTCTTCCCTCTGCTAGCTACTTGGGTATCCATTACAAAGTAAAACACTCAAAACTTGTTCATCACCTCACTCCCTGGCCAAGGTCACCAGTATCTCCCTATTAATTCACATTGAAAACTCTCCACTGTTACTATCAGGAAGCCACTCAATATTTTCTTCAGAACTGTTCAGCAGTTTGCCTGATGTCTGCATTAATGGTCAGGTTGTAAAACAGTAAAACCTATAGTGGTTTCTAAGACAACCAGCTGTTTGTTAGCAGTTAAGTGCTGCAAAAAGAAAGATGAAAACAAATCTTCTAAGGAACTTTCTTATAAACCTGCTTATTTACGTAAAGCTACACAGGGGTGCAGAAATCCTAATGTTCACAAAGCAGGACTGAGCGCATCCGCGCCAGCACCGCCAGGCGCACAGAAGCAGCGGGAGGAGCAGTGCCTAAGGAACGTGTGAATGGAAGAGCATGAGCGCAGTGCATTCCTTCTCTGCTCCTCTGTGTGCAACGGGACACAGGCGAGACTGGGAGGGACTCAAGACAAATTTCCTTTGGAGAAATTAAAAGCAAGCAGTTAGCAGCCTTGTTTACAAAGGGGTCAAAACTGAAAGAATAGCAGACATCTGAATCCAAAGTGCTTTGAACACACAAAATGCCACAGCAAACACAAGAGCAGAACATATTTCCGTAATTTAATCCAAGGTGAGTCTTCTACTTAACCAAGTCTAGCTTAAGCAGGGAACTGGTAACAGCTGAAGTTTAGTGAGAAGGCCAAACTGTATCTCGGAGTTTACAGAAGTGTAAACTTAAGAGAGGAGGAAGATGCATGCTGGTTTTCCGCTTCTTCCATCCTGTTGCCTGGTACATAGAGGCCCCCTGCCACACTTTGCGTTCTCCCGCCTCCCTCATCTATCACCAGTGGATTTCATGTAACCCACTTATGTCTTCTCTTTTGATTGTAATGTATAAAAAAGGGAGCAAAACTGTCATTCTCTGGAGCATTTTCTCAATGCATTGAGATTTTGATTCCCAGCAATTGTCAACAGTTTGGCTCAAATAAATTCTCAAAAACTCCCTACATGTTTGAATGTTTCTTACTTTGACAGTACCAAAAAAACAAATAATTCAATTTAAAAATGGGCAAAAGACCTGAAAAGACATTTTTTCCAAAGAAAGCAAATAAATGGTCACCAGGTACATGAAAAGGTGCTCAAAATCACTAATCATCAGAGAATGCAAATTAAAACCACAATATCACCTCATTCTTGTTTCCTCCCCACACATTTTTTTGTTGTTGACACTATTAAAGATGTCCCCCATTCTCCCCATTTTAAAAAGTTTTTTATTCCCTCATACTTATTAGAATACCTATTACCAAAAAAAAAAAAAGAAAAGAAAAGAAATGACAAGTGTTGATGAGAATGTGGAGAAAAGGGAATCCTTCCACATGCACTTCTGGAGGGACTGTAAAATGGTACAGCCACTACAGAAAAGAGGAAGGAGGTTCATCAAAAAATTAAAATAGAAATGCCTTATGATCCAGTAATTCCACTTCTGGGAGTATATCCAAAGGAAACAAAAACACTATGTTGAAGAGATATCTGCACCTCCCCATTCATAGTGTTACGGAAAGACTCAGATCGACCACCAGAGGAGGCGAAGTGATACCTTTATTTCACGCATGCAGACCCAGAGGAGGCAGGCTCCAAATTCTGGGCCCCCAACTTCGAGCTCAGTGCAGCTTTACAGTATGCAGGGCGGGACTTTCCTGTGGCGCAAAAACAGCGGGCGGAGTTACAGAAGCAGGACGTGTTCGGTTGGGCAAGCGAAGATTCAAAATGGGAAGCTCATCTAAAATGGCGGTAGATTCCTTACCATTTCCCCCCTTTGATGCTATTGGTTGCCATTGCAACTATTGCATCATGATACATGTCCCCGTATTCCGGGTCCTCGGATTCCTTGAGCCTCTGATAGGACCTGCTGGAGGGCTACAATCTTGGCAGTAGCTCTCCTGGTAACAGTGTTCTCCAAGGTCTGGATAATTGTTCTAACTATAGAGGCTTACTCCTATAAGCCCGAGGCTTACTCCTATAAGAATAAGAATGGGCCCGATCAGTGGGACGAGCCATCGGGCCCAAGCCTGGGTGTTTAGTCCCCAATTCCAGCTATCTCCTTTCTGCTTTGCTGCATGCTCTCTCAGCTCTTTCACCTTCTGCGTTACCACCCCAGACTGGTTAACAAAATAACAGCATTCTTCACCCAGGAGTACACGTTCCTCCTTTTTCAGCTGTGAGTATATCTAAAGCCCGTTGATTCTGTAGGGTAACCCCGGCGAGCGAGTTGATTTGTTGCTGGATGGTGGTCAAAGAGTCAGCCACTTTCTCCATGTCCGTGTTCAGCCTCTCGGATAGTTTATAATATGTAGAGGCCAAAAGCCCTAGTCCTCCTATGCCTGTGCCGACACCAGCAGCTATTCCCAGTCCTGCCAGCACAGCAATCCCAGCTGCTCTCTTGATCCGCCCTGGCATTTCCCTCGGATGGAGTGCTGCTAACATTTCCTGACTGGTCTTTAGGCTGATGTGTAGGAATATCTCTACACATCTCCCAGTTCAGCTGGCAGGGAGGCACCGGTAGGCCTCCCTTCCACATAGGAGGAACAGGCCGGGCTCTGCACAGAGACTACTATTGTTGGGGATGCTGAGGTTGTGGGTGCAGAGCCCCGGGTTTAGAGTCCCTATCAGGATCGTTTCTGGTGAGGTCTCCTGGGGTGCTAAGCAGGTGATGTTGGATCCTCTGGGATCCAAGAAAACATCGGTGGTGACTGGCGCCAGCGTGAGTGTCTGATTGGGGCAAGAGGCCAGGAGTGATTCCATGTATTAGGAACTGGAATTCCTAGGAGTTCTTTCTCCCTGAAAGGGAGACAAACCCAGCATTCTTTTGTGGAGTTGCTTGTATTCTGATATGCTAAGTAGATGGTTTGTAGTATGCCCTGGACCTGTAAGGTTGGGCTCAATTTCTGTAGGGTCCTTTGGAAGTTCGTGAGGTTAACCCCCTTGTAGGTTATTTCCTATTGTCTCACCTCTGGGTCACTTCCTTGAGTGCTGCTTTCCTGGCTACCTCAAGTTCTTCCTGATTCACGTTACTCAATGGCCGTACAGGACCCCAGCACACCTGCCTGCCTGGCGGCCCGTGTCCCTGACATTTCTGAGCTTGGTGGCCTACGGTTCCTTCCATGATTCCTGTCCAGTAGACTCTGCCATCCCATATACATTGTGTTTTACCTGATTTTACACAATCTTGAGGTATGTCCGTACTATAGGCAAAGGGGCTTCCCTGGCTCAAGTACATTGCGGCACCCCCTGAAAGCCTTATCCTCTCCCTGGGTGTACTGCACCGGCATTGTGGAGAAGTTACAGTGGTTGGGGTAGTTACAGAAAGCAAACTACATAGCCACATGAGCAAACAAAACCAAGGTATAGTCCTCTGAGAGCTAAACGTTCCCATAAGTTCCAGTCCGGGGGTGCCGTTGTCACTAGCCCTATTCTGAAGATGGTGGCGAGGAGTCCTGCGGCTGCGAGGTACCATTCTGGACAATGGTCCATCCACGGGTTGGTCCCTTCCTCAGTTTCAATGGGGGCAGCCGCAGTCGGGAATGGTCCTCAGAATCTTCGTTGGCCTCGCGATCCGCTGCTCCCTTAACCCGGGTATGGTGGACCCAGGGTGCTGTTCCTGCAATCTTAAGTGCAGTAGGGGTTGTTAATATGATCAAGCGGGGCCCGGTCTAAGTAGGGTGGAGGGGTTCCTTCTTCCAATCCTTGACCCAAACATAATCTCCTGGCTTAAAAGGGTGCACTGGCCCCCCTCTAGGGACTGGGTCAAGGCCTAATCCAGCTTTGTGTACCTGTTCTAATGTTTTCCCCAACCTCTGGAGATATCTAGTCTGGCTGACCTCCCCGACTACCCGAAGCTCCCCTCTCGGGATGGGCAGTACCGCTGGCAGCCTTCCACGTACCAGTTCAAAAGGCGTATAACCCGTGGAGTTAGGGGCGTTCCGGACCCTAAATAGCGCTAAGGGAAGCAAATCAGGCCAGGGCAGGTTGGTTTCTTGGTGGAATTTCGCCAGTTTCCTTCAGTCAGGGTTTGATTCATTCGTTCTACCTTCCCTGAACTCTGAGGTCGATATGCAGTGTGCAGCTTCCTCAGTTGCTTTGCTAGTTCTTGAATGACTCTGGCGACAAAAGCTGGCCCATTATCGCTACCTATGGACATCGGCAGCCCCAAACGGGAGGATTATTTCCCATAGGAGAACCTTGACTACCTCCCGGCTTTTCTCAGTCTGGGTGGGGTAAGCTTCTACCCACCCCAAGAAAGTGCAAATTACGACTAGCAGGTATTTATAACCTCAGCTCGGTTTGACCTCAGTAAAATCAACTTGCAGATCCTTAAAGGGCTGTTGCCCCCTGTGCTGTGCGCCAATGAACCTGTGGGTGAGGGGCAGCATTATTCCGAGCGCAAGTTATGCATCGGGCCACAATCGTGGCACAGATACTGGGAAAGTAGTAATACTTCTTAAGCAAAGCCTCCAGAGACATCTTCCCCAGGTGAGTCAGGGTGTAGCACTGCCTTACTAAGTTACTCGCCTGGGTCTGAGGTACATAGAGCCGACCGTCCAGCAGTTCCCAAATACCGGTCGCAGTCTGGGAACACCCTGCCTGTATCGCCCATTTCTGTTCCTAGGGAGTATAATCTGATTGTGTAGGGCTGAGGTCCAGTAAGGTCCCCTCTAGGGCCCGGACATCAGCAAGGGTACTCTTGGTCTGGGCTGCTTCTTTGGCTGCTTGATCTGCCCGCCGATCACCCCTGGCTACTGCGGTCTCTTCCTTCTGGTGCCCCCAGCAATGGATTATCGCCACCTTGGCTGGGGCCCATACCGCCTTTAATAACCTAAGTATCTCAGCTTTATTTTTAATGTCTTTTCCTTCGGCGGTGAGTAATCCCCTTTCCTGGTAGATAGCGCCGTGGATGCGTACAGTGGCAAAGGCATATCTGGAGTCTGTGTATATGTCGACCTTCTTTCCCTTTGACAATTCTAGAGCCCTGACTAGAGCCCACAGTTCTGCTCTTCGTGCAGACCATCCAACTGGTAGGGGTTTAGCCTCTAATATCTCATTATCGACTACTGCGTACCCTGCTAGCCGCCTCCCACCAGCCATATAACTGCTGCCATCCGAGTACAAGGTCAGGTCCAGCTGGCTTAGTGGCTGATCCTGCAGGTCCGGCAGGCTGGCATAGACCTCCTCAGTCATTTCCAGGCAATCATGGTCCGGCTCTCCACGTTCAGCGGGGAGGAAGGTAGCTGGGTTTATCCGCCATATGGTGATTTTTACTCGGGGGTTTTCGTGGAGTATTCCTTGATACTGAGTCAGCCGAGGGTTGGATAGCCACCTGTGTCCCTGTACAGCCAGGAGGTTGGATACCTCGTGTGGGACAAATAGGTTGATCTCCTGTCCCAAGGTTAGCTTGTCTGCCTCCTGCAGGAGGACGATCGCAGCAGCTATGGCCTGCAGGCAAGGGGGCCATCCGGCGGCTACGTTGTCCAGCTGCTTGGAGAGGTAGGCTACTGGCCTCTGCCATGGTCCTACCTTCTGTGTCAAGACTCCTAGAACTGTTTTCTCCCTTTCGTGCGTATATAGTTCGAAAAGGCGACTTGGATCTGGCAGGCCTAGAGCAGGGCCCGGCCGAGGTGATCCTTGATGGCCTGGAAGGCACGTTCTTCCTCTGCTTCCCATAGGAAGGGGGCTGTGTCCGGGCCCTTCAACGCCTGATATAGCAGCTTCGCTAAGGCAACACACCTGGGAATCCAAATGCGACAGAATCCAGCCACCCCCAGGAATTCGTGCAACCTTTTCTCGGTGGTAGGGACGGGTAAGACTTGGATCACTTGTTTTCTTTCTTGGCTCAGGGTCCGTTTTCCCTGAGAGATTAAGAACCCCAAGTATTTCACCTGGGGCTGGCAGATTTGGGCCTTCCTCCACAAGACCCAATATCCCGCCTGAGTCAGGAGTTCTAACAGTTGGCAAGTTCCTCCCCAACAGCAGTCCTTGGTGGTTGCCGCCAACAAGAGGTCATCTACGTATTGTAGGAAGGTCAGGTCAGCCTCGCTGCTTATAAATGACCTCAGGTCCTGCCCCACGGCCTCCCCCAAGAGGGTAGGAGAGTTCTTGAATCCCTGGGGCAGCCTAGCCCAGGTTAACTGAACCTTAGCCATCGAGTGAGGGTCCTCCCATTCAAAGGCAAAGAGGGGTTGGCTTTCTTTGGCCAGTCAGAGACAGAAGAAGGTGTCCTTTAAGTCTAAGCAGGTAAACCAGGCGGATTCTGGAGGAAGCTGGCTGAACAGGGTGTACGGGTTCGGGACTACAGGATGCAGGGTGACTGTTGCCTCGCTTACGGCTCGCAGGTGCTGGAACGGTCTGTATCCCATCCCGTCTGGCTTCTTCACCAGGAGCAGTGGAGTGTTCCAAGGGGATTGGCAAGAGACAAGTATCCCTTCCCTCAGGTGCTTTTGAATGACCTCCGTTATGCCGAGTCGTGCCTGCCATGGAATGGGGTATTGGCAGATCTGCCTTGGCCCTGCTCCAGGCTTCATGTCTATGATGAGGGGGGCATGGTTCGTAGCCAGTCCTGGTGGGTTGTCTTCAGCCCAGACCTGAGGGTACCGTGTACGGAGGCTGGTAACCCTTTCATCCGTGGCAGGCTCCTCCGTATTCCCCTCTGGCCCCTCATAGAGGCGGTATTCTTCCCCTCGAGGGATGAGAACTGCCACCAGAGATGGTGTGCTGACCCGCAGGTGGGCTTCTCCCAACGGTTGGAAGGAGATTTGAGCCCCTAATTTGGCAAGCAGGTCCTGTCCCAACAGTGGAACGGGGCACTCAGGAAGATACAGGAACTCATACCTTACTTGATGGCCCCCTAGTTCTACAGTTCGCGCTCGGCAGAAACTTTTCAGGCCGCTCAGCTGTCCGGTTGCCCTGACGATAGAGATTTCACGTCCCAACGGGGGAGCAATAGCGGTGGTTTCTACTGAATGCTCAGCCCCGGTATCTACCATGAAAGGAAGGGTTTGGCCCCCCACAGTTAATCTGACCATGGGCTCATGGGGGCCAAGATTCAGAGAGCCTGGTCTGTCCTAGTCCAAGTCCATGCCAGCCAGGCTGAGGATGGTTGGGGCTTGGGCCTCAGGCTGCGGGGCACTGTGAACCTGCCTCTTCTTCTTCCGGTTGGGGCAATCCCTCTTCCAGTGGCCCTTCTCTCTGCAGTAGGCACATTGATCGGCTTCCACCCGGTGGTGTCCGGTCTTTCCTTTAGCTTGGGGTCCCCTCGGAGGCGGCAGGGGTCTTCCTAGGGCTGCCACTAGGAGGGCTGCCTTTTTCTCCATCTTTTTCCTGGCCTCTCTTTCAGATGCCTCCTCCCGATTGTTGTAGACCTTACTTGCGACCTCTATGAGCTGGCTAATGTTCATCCCGGCGAAGCAAGCCCTTGAGTTCCTGGAGCTTCTTCCTGATGTCCGATGCGGACTGAGACACAAACGCCGTATTCACCATTCTGATTGTCCGGTCCTTCGGGGTCGAATGGCGTGTAAATTCAGTATGCCTCGCACAGTCGTTCGTAGAAGTCTCCGGGAAATTCATCTGGTCGCTGGGTCACACTGGCCACTTTAGACATATTGTTGGGTCTTCAGGCTCCAGCTCGGACACCAGGGAGGAGGGTCTCTCGATACCTCTGCAGGGCAGCCCTACCTTCCTCTGTGTGATGGTCCCAATCTGGTTGAATTTCGGGCGCAGCCGCTCTTGCCCATTGCACCGGGTCCAGCGTCCCCACCGGTGCAGCAGTTTCTAGGTATCGGAGGGCTTCTTGGAGTATGCACCGGCAACTGAACAGGGTGACGAGCAATTGGCGGCAGTTGTACCAGGTAGGCCTGTGAGTTTGCATAATTGACTCCATAAGGTCTATTAAAGCCTGGGGCTTCTCTGAGTATGAGGAAGTGTGATGCTTCCAACTAAGGAGATCGGTGGTTGTGAAAGGCTGATAGTAGACTATCATTCATCCCGGCAGTTCCATCCCGTCAGGCCTGACCTGTGGCAGCGCCTGAGTCTCTCTTAAGGGTAATTGCAAAGGTTGCTTAGGAGGACGCCTGGTTGCCATTGATGTTGGGGCTGCTTCTGCCTGCCACTGCAGTGAGACTGACGGCGGAGGGGTCTCAAGTTCTGGGGCCCTAGGCTCTGGAGCGTAAGGAGGAGGCGTACTAAGTGGTGACTCTTCCTCCAGGTCGCCCTCATAGATTGGCGGCCGCTGGGTTTCCCTAGGGCGAGCTACTAATACTCGGGAGGCTTTCTTTTTCACCCCAGATACTCCGATGGCTCGGGGCACCTGTTTCTGGCACTGGCGAAGCCAATTCGGTAACTCCCGTGCTAACTCCTGCCACCTACCCATATAGATGTACTGGTTGGGGTATCCTGGCTTCCCCATAACTATTAGGTGTACTGCCCGAGTGATGCCTAAATTGAGGGCTCTCTCAGGGGGCCAGCCTACCCCAAACCTCAGCCACTTGACCGATCAGAAAGTGTCGAGCTGGTCCGGGGTCATTGAGGGATCCTGCCCCCTGAACTGCTCAAAGTTCTTAAGCATGCAGTCTAACACCCTCGATGGGCCACCTCCCATGGCTTGTCCCCGCAGCGTCGGCGCAATCAAACAAAGGTTGGGTATTCTGTTCGCCCGCCTGGCCGCTCCCCTCGCGGGGATTTAGGTGCCTCTTAGCTTTGGCAGGTCAGTATAAACCCCTGACCCGGATCAGACTCGCAGGGAGGGA